GACAGAAGGGAAGAACTTTAACTTGGCCAGGAGAAAAAAGGAGGCATGGTCCTGCCACTGTTTCTTCGCTGGGTGTGTCCTCCACCTTAGAATCATAGAATCACAGAGTTGGAAGGGAGCTCAAGGGTCACCTTCATTGATATCTACTTCCCCTTATCCTCTTCCCTTTCCATGCTATGAGATGGCAACCCAATGCTATCCTTCTGCTCACTTATTCTCAGAGTCATATTTTCAAATTTCCTTTCTTCCTGCTTTTTGAACAGTGGAGTCATGCTGGCTTTTTCCTCTCCATTCAGGTAAAAGCTCTTCTGTACTGGAGGAGCAACTACTCCATGCTACTGTGGTTGTAATGAGATGGACAGGCCACCTATAAGACTTCAGATGGAAAGTGCCATGATGTCTGGTTAGATCCTTCACTGTCGTCATTCCCTATTCGTCCACCCAACATGGCAACCCCAGCAAGGGGCTTTCAAGGCAAGTGAGAAGAGAGGTGGTTTGCCTTCCTCTGCAGAGTCTTCCTTGCTGGTCTTCCATCCACATACTGACTTTGCTTAGCTTCTCAGATCTGATGAGATCAGGCAATACCATGGCACCATCCCTCCCTCAGCTAACATATATAACTGGAAAAAAATTAACTCACAGAAGAGGTACTTTCCTTGCTTATTTCAGTCTTACTGGGAAGTGAGTTGGGATGTTGCATGCCTTGTCTTTGTAGTGTCCTGGCCTTGCCCATCTTGTCTTCCTGCCTGCCTCACAATATTTCTTTGTGCTAATTGGATCACGTGTGCAAGTTTCTGGACTGCCGCATGAGGCTGTAGTTTGATCCAGTAAGTTCTGAGCATGCACCGTCTGACTGTACGGGAGCAAAAGCATGAACACCACTTAAACCATGACGTGGCTGATTCTAAATGATGCATGCCCTGACCACTGATGGGCCTAGGACAGATGTTGTGAGCATGAATCAGCAGTGGTGACCACTAGATTGGACCCTGCCCCAAATTTCCACTGACAAAAGGGATTTCTGCCTGAGGAGTGGGGCTACTCTCCTCTCATGCCTGCTGCAGCCCAAACTGCCCCTCCCACATGTCGCTCTTGGGGAGCAGCAGACCCCAGGAGCAGAATGATGGCAAAGTCAGAGGTCTGCCAAAGGAGGGGGAATCAACAAAAATCACTGCCTGCTTTGGTCGGTGGAAATTTCTCTTGAAACCAACCCACCACCATCACCACTCTGCTTCAACTGCAAGCAAATAATCCAGGTAGGCAGATGAAGTGCTGGATTTGAGAGCGAACCGGCATTGCAAGCCAGGTGAGTTGATTTTTGAACATATGCTTTGTGGGCACTGAATCCTCCTTGATGAAAATGGTGTACAAACATCCTAAAAATAGCATCCTTGCAAAAATGGGCTAAAATCATCTTTATGAGTCATCAATGACAGCAATGAAAATAAAAGCGAATCAACGCTGAAGACGACAACATACAAAATCTCGAAGAAATAAAAATGGCTTTATTGACTCATCCCTGCTTCCATCCATATTCTGTGACTTATACCAATGCAGTCAGAGAGTTGTAAGAAATGTGATGCATGTGCGGCATCACAACTGATTCAGCAGGGGTTACCATGTATGACCCTGTGCATTCTCAGCAGACCTTGGACTGAGGTGGGGATGGATCACTTTAAGAAGAAAGGTAGCAGCATCATGATGGAGCATGAATCCAGTTTCTAAGAATGTGAACGGCCAGATATTACAGCAGTAACGATAACAGTGTGATGGCCCACTTTGTGGTATGAGAAATGAGTGGCGGTTATGATGGTGAGCCACCGTTCCACAATAAAGAATTTTCAAAATTTGTTAAAGACTAGCCTGCTACCCATGCTTCGCTACGGTATTTAAGTTCCGTAAATCCAGTTATAATACTGATGATGTGAAATTTGAAATGTGACATTTGTTGTAGGAATTCTAACAGAGAAGACTGTAGTGTAAGAAATGAAGTGAGACATGCATACTTTCTCCCCCCTCTACTGAAGGACCTCTCTCTAGACCAGATTGGTGGTTCTGCCCTCAGATGCTAGGATCACCAGGTTGCTTGATGAGCTCACTCTGGAGCAGGCCACATAGAACTGTCCATTTAAGAAGCAGTCATCTGTTAAGTCAACTCCTGCTACCTTCCACGAAAGTGATGGCCTCTCTACCGGTGTTCCTGGATTGTTTTGCTCATATGGAGACTGTGTTGTTCTGAGCACCTCAGGGTGATCTTGCTGGTACTTGGCCTGTGCAGCTCAGTGCACTGCAGGAGTACTATGTGCATATGTCTTTACGGCATTCCTAAGTTGACTCCTCCTTGTAGCATTGGTGTATCTGGCTCAACGTTTGCCAGGAGCTTTCTTGGGGGCAGTAAGAGGTGAGAGGAGTGAGGGGGAGTTGGTGTGAGGGAGTGGTGATGTGGTGGACATTTCTTCAGGCTCATGAGGGAGGAACGCATCAAAATGGCTCCTAGAAATGTCCTTTACTATTTCCCCATAAACATTCATACCCTGGTCATGCTCCTACACCTGACAGACACCCGTCTGTCTGGTATTGGGGGGGATTGTATCTAAAGACATCGGAAAAGCTGGGCCAGCAGCAGCGCTAAGGCAATCCTGCTGAGCAAATCTCCCCGGCGGCTGTAAGCATCCCACCTGCTCTCCTACACCTGACAGGCAACTGCCTGTCCAGTGTAGGATGGGGAGTGGGGAGGAGTATTAGAAGCCACAGTGGAGGCAGGGCTGGCAGGATCACCAAGGCATGACTGCTGGGGCAGGCTTTAAGCACCCTGCAACCACTGCTGCACCTGACAGACAACTGCCTGTTAAGTGTAGGAGTTGGGGGGAGTATGTTGGAAGCCATCCCACCTCCTCTCCTACACCTGACAGGCAGCTCTCTCTCCAGTGTAGGAGGGGGAGGAGTATTAGAAACCACTGTGGAGATGGGGCTGCACCTGACAGACAACTGCCTGTTAGGTGTAGGAGGTGGGGGGAGTGTGTTGGAAGCCATCAAAGAGGCTTGGCCAGCAGCTTTGCTTCACCTCACAGGTGGTTCTTGGCAACTCTTGATTTCCTCAACTGTCATTAACTGTCTGCAGTCCCCTGTAACTGTTGGGTTTTTTTTTTTACCTCAGAACACTGAGCTCTGCAGCTGACCTATCAGAGAGTGTGTGGTGCAGAGAGGCAGCTGCCTGGCAGCCGCATAGCAATCAATGGAGGGAGCACATTTCCCCCTTTTTGACCCACTTAGGGGTCGAATTTCTAAAAATCCCTTCTTAGCGAGCACCTACACCACGGTAGGAGCGCTCTCCCCGAATTTGGTGTCTCTAGGTTCAGCGGTTTGGCCTGGGCATTGATTTTATGTTGAGATTGAAAGGCTGATCCCATAAACAACCCCCTACTACAATCAGTCCATGGCAAAGCTGGAGCTGCCAGAGTTTTACTACTGAACAAAACAGCAAGAAATAGAGAAACTATATTGTAAACTAATCTGGTATAGAGCAATATCTCATGGTAGCCATAACCAGTAGCCCAGGGCAATGAGTTATGTGCCAGTGTCCATGATCCCGGATACTACTGTCCTTTTATTACTGATACCTGAAGGTGAAGTCACAAATCAGACACACAGGCAGTAAAATTAATGCACCCCTCACAGTAAGCACTAAAGAAACCAGAGATGTGCATTGGAGAGGGGGCCCATATCCAATGATATCCCAAGACAGAACATGCCAGTGGAGAATGAGAACTCACATAGGGCAAACATCCCCTCCCTCCCACATTTATAATGTTAAAATTAATGGGTATACATACTGATAGAATTGCAAATGCACGTAGTGATTCACCAATCAATGACATATTCTCTTTAAGTGGCAAAAAATAAGACATGGGATTCATCTTCCATTCTGATGGAAGTCTATAATCTACCTAGCACCCAGAACAAAAAGATTCAGCAGTACATCCAACTACACACTAAGAAGAGCAGAAAAAAGTGTATGATGAGCAAAAGCCCTCTATGGTTTGGGGCCAACATACCTGAAGGACCAGCTACTCCCTTATAAACCCACCCAACCGCTATGGTCATTGGAGGTCCTGTTTTGGGTGTCCCTGCCTTCTTAGGCAGAAGAGAACCCTGGAGAGGGCCTTTTTGGTCATGGCACAAGAGCTCTAGAACTCTCTCCCCAAGGAGAGTCCTCCATTCCTGTCTGTTGCCATCTTCCACCAGCAGGTGAAGACTCTTGTTTTGTTTGGCATTCCCTCAGTGATGCCTCCTTCCTGACCAATGCTTTAATTGCTGTTTTTATGTCTTTGTGCATATTTTACCTCTATTTTTAATTTGTTTTAATGATGTATAGCTTTTTTTGGCAGGGGGAGGTTGATTTTAATGTGTTTAAACTGTGATTTTATCATGAATATTTTAAATTGTTAGCCACCTTGCTGGACCTTGTGAGGGTAGAAAGTTGGGAAACAACAACAACAACAACAACAACAACAATACATAGTTGACCTTAACAACCCATTTAACTAGCCCTTTACCTGCAGCCCTATCCATCCTGTTTGTGTTGAAATTGGCTGCTTATTTTATCAACGTACCATAACCACTTCTTCACTAGTTAAAATGCTAATGGTTCAAAGTGTATGTTTGTTTGACAGGTTACATCACACTTCTTTCTTTTGTTCTTTGATTGCATTTTCATATGCAAATACAACACTGGGGATGTTATGAAAGGCAGCCTTCCACCCAACAGAGCTGCAGCAAAGATTTCATTTGACCTGAAGTACAAGGGACTGACACTGCAGCTCTAATTTGTAGGGAGGAATCTGAGCATCAATTTTTAGCCTTATTGTAAGAACTAAATTATTGTTCAAGGAGTCAGTATTCCCTGGAACACTTAGGGCTTAGGTGCTACCCACCCCAATGTGTGAGAGAGAGAGAGAGAGAGAGAGAGAGAGAGAGAGAGAGAGAGAGAACTAACTTACGTTAATTCATAGACCTGGGTCTGATTTTCTGGCCATTCCACTAGACACACCACCCGGCCAGGCAGGTCTAAGGTTCTTGCATAGTAGCCTTGTGGGAACGATAACAACAAAGCCAGTAACCATATGACACAGATGACAAATCTGGTGGCTGTGGCTGATAACCGTGGTTGCATTGGATGGATAATGGCCATGTATCTGGAGTAAAGAGAGAGAGAAAGAGTTTAAAAATATAGCAGCAAAACATAAGAAATACCGAGTTGCTGTTCTCACCTCTTTAAGACCCAATGATGTGACTTATTCATCTTCCCCATTTATCAAGGTGAGACAAATGGGAACATGGGGTAAGATGGCAAACTATTTATGTATGAATTATATGTGTGCCCTGCCTTTTCAATAGCAAGCTCAAAGCAAGGTAACAAAATCAAAATCACAAAAGCAATTGCATTAAACCAATGCAAAATAATAGGCAAGACTGTTGTGACGACATCATAACAATCTTGTAGAAAACCGAGGACTGACAACAAATTCCAGGTGTCTGCAGTACAGAAGCTGAACCAAGGACAGTCCTGTCCCACCTTCTGCAATCTTCTACCAAACTGGATTGTTCCAACTGGCATTTATGTGCAGCACAGTGCTTTCACATTCATTGCATCATCTCACAGTCTTTGGGGAGATCTCTGATTCTATATAAACAGAGAAAATGTATTTACATGAGCTGTTTTATTATCTGGCTTTCAACCTGCAAGTTCAGGAGGCAAGATTTTGCTTACACATGCTGGAAAGCAGGCAGGGAAGATAGAGAGGATAGTGGCAGGGTCTGTATCTTACCTCTTATACACTCCCTTTGACAGCTTGCCTGTTTTACAGGATGGAGAGGGGGGATACACAGGGTGTACTGAGGCTATAGCGCCTCCCCCAGAATAGGTAGTTAGCCCATCTTCCAGCAGGGGACAAAAGCAAAGGTTGTGCTTGCACACACTGGAGGGTTTACTGCAGTGGTTGAGGGAGACTAGAAGCAGAAATCCATGCTTTGCTGTTCCTAGCTGTTAAGAGATGTGCTTAAAATTGTATTTTATTTGTATTGTGCTGACGTGTGTATGTATGGAATGTACTTGCATTTGTGTATGGGTTGGGAAAACTGTGTGCTTTGGTCTGCCTGCATTTGGAAGCTGCTATGCTGATGTGCTGCCTGCACCAATATGCTAATGAAGACACACACACACACCTACCCACCCTGCCTGGAAAGAAGGCATTCTCCATTACAGTCAGCCACGAGGACTCTCACAAACAACAGGTCCTCCACCATCAAGGAATTCCTGGTCAACACGTAACCCTCATATCTGGTTTGCATCTGAAAGTGACTTCTTCCTGTTTACTGCTTGGGAACCAGCTAGAGCATCTACACATCAAAGGTTTCCTTGGCAATACAACTTCACACCTTGACCAGATGCTTCCATTGAGTTAAAGGTTAAGATTTGAATATTGCCCACTCCCTCTAGGTAGATACATCACATCCCAGTAACCAATAGGTATAAGGAATGGGACGGACTACAGGTAGGCACAGATGCCAACCCCCAAACTAGGTTTTAAAAGGTGAGGAGCAACCTTTGTTCCACGCTAGCTAGCCATCTTTACCCCACCTAGGCAACTCAAGTTCTACTGCAGATAATTCTCACGTGCTCTCTTGGACTGCAGCCAAGAAGCCCACATGTGTTGGCTGGTTCCAACTGTGTGAAGTAGAATCCCTCAGTTAGATCTTTTGTTCCCGCATTCTTCATTGAGAAGGTCAAACTCTCTTCTGGATCAGATAAGTATAACCGTTACCCTTTTCTGTGTTCCTATCCAATTAGTTAAAGGTTATTATTTTCTATACTGATTGCTTTCCATTTCTATTGTATCTAAAGGAACTTGTGAGAGTGTGTGAGCGAATCTGTTTTTGTATGCTTGTGAATTCAACTATTATTCAGTAAAGAGAACAACTTATTCTATAAACATCCAGTCGTGTTGTCTCTTTCTATGGGGAAAAAGGAGTCTCTGTTCTGATTCTGCCCTCTATATACATTGGTTAAAAGAACCCACAAGTCCCTGTCGTACAGAAGACAGATTTGGGCTAAAGGATTAATCTCCTAACGGGGATTTCTCCTAACACAGCAATAGGCAGTTCTCCTGCTCAGCAGATTGGGAAGTGGGAACAGAGACAGATGAGTAAGGCATCCTTCTATTACAGCAAAGAGAAAGTTCACACACACACACACACACACAAAAATGGTGATGATGTAGAATCAGATCATCTCTATGAGAAAGTGGGCTACTGATTCCACATCTGTAATCTCGAGCAACTTTACTATATGAATAGAAAGCCATAGGGAGGGGGCTAAATATGCAGAAGTCACAGGTAAATCGCCTGGGATAGCACAGTGTGGTTTAAACAAAACTAAACTACATGAGCAATGGGAGCTGATCCTACCCTTTCCCCTAATTCCTTACTTCTAGGGAAGCACTGTGAAAATATGGTCCTAGAAAATGGCCTGGGTCTGGGATCCCTGCCCTGTGTTCTTTATAATGCTCAGAAATTAGTTGCCGGTTCTCTATTCCTGCATGCACGGTATCTGATTCAGACTGTAACTGGGGTACACATGAAGAGAGGGTGACACATCCCAGCATTCTTTTCAAAGTGCCCTCTAAGTGCGAAATACATGACAGTCAACTCAAGACCACCCTGAGAAATAACATAGTCCTATTTTTAACAGATATAAAAGAACTTAAATTTCTTCTAACATTTTTCCTTTGAGCGAAATGATTTGCATTTCACCTTCTTCTCCATTCCAAGAACTGCCACAAGTATCCAGGTGAGTGAGAACCACAATCCCCCCCCCCAATGATTGCTTGAGGGTTTGGGGGAGCAGCAACTAAGGATTGTAAATTTAGGAGTTTCTCTCTAATAAAATGGTATCATAAGACTGTGCTGGAGCTTTTTATTAGATGCTCCATTTCTCAAGAAGTCAATTAAATCCCTATGAAATATTCTGCTTCAAGCATCAGAAAAAACATGGGAGTTCCATAATTTTGGAGAATAAATTCTTGGAACCAGCTGTCAGCCACAAAGATGGAGGAGCTGGGGGTTGTCCAAGGAGGGAATAGCCGTGATTGATAAGCTGATGACTTTGGGTTGCTATACCTGTAGAAAATTGGGGGAGGAGGAGGCGCTTAGGATTTGCCTGCTTCAGGGAACCCACAAAAACCCTTAAACTGAAGGTAAGGCTATGAGCCCCTAGCATCAAACCTGTAATGTAAAGTGGTGAGGGATGCAGCCCCTGGCTTTCAACTGAGTTGTCGTGGAGGAGCTACACCCAGGAATGTATTTTCTGTGGGAAATAGACACAGCTATCACCCTGACTTCCTAATGCAGCTAACTTTCATTCCAATACTAAAGAAAGAAACAAGGGCCCTGGTCACACGGGCCGGATATTTTTTTTTTTGAAAATTTATTTTCCAAGTTTTCACCTTTACAATCCACAAAACAATATACAGATAAACAAAATTAGATCACTTATACATCTCCAAAAGAAAAACTTTCAGTTCCAAAATAAAGTTTCCTAGCATTTAACTAACATTTTACATTTTTCGTTTATGTTTTAGCCAGTCATAGATAGTTTTCCATCTTTTCCAAAATACATTTTCAGGTTTGTTGTTCAATTCTAAGCTTAGTTTGTCCATTTCCGCAATATCCAAAATCTTATGTTTAAGTTCTTTAATAGATGGTATATCTTTTGATTTCCATCGCCTTGCTATCAATATCCTGGCTGCTGTTAGAATATATACTATTATTTTTTTGTGGTTTTTAACATTATCCGGGATCATATTTAATAAGAATATTTCAGGTTTTAAGGGAATATTTAGTTTAAATACTTCTTTTATGATTTTATGGATTTTTTTCCAATAAGGTTGTATTTTTTCACATCTCCACCAGATATTAAGGTAAGTACCTATATTTTTCCCGCACCTCCAGCAAAGGTTGGAGGTGCCCCAATGACAGATTTGACAGTGGAATACCTCTACAGCAAGTTGGATGTGGTCTATAGGTCATTCATCATATATCAAGAAAAATAATCTGCCTGGGGAAATAGTAGTCCAATTCTCGAAGAGACATGTAAGACACTTGATTTTGAAAGCAACTACGGGAACACCATTGAAAATCGAGGACAACAACATCAGGATTCTAAAAGACATTCCATTTGACATAAGACAGAAGAGAAAGAACTACAAAGAATTAATCCTTTTCTTACAAACAAACGGCATCATTTACAGATGGTTAATTCCAGAAGGCATCATTTTCAAGCTTCACGATAAAAAAGAAAAGATTGACTTTGTTTTTAAAGCATGTGACTTTTTGTGAACACAGCTTGGGGAACCAGAGGAGGACAAAAAGGAAGAAGAAGAAAGCAAATCTGATGGCGAGTTAGGCTCGAGTTCTTTCATCTTTTAGTTCGACCCAATCCTTAATCCATGTCATCGCGGCTGAGAGGTAGTAAAGCTGCCAATTGGGCAATGCAAAGCCCCCTTTCTTTTTACTATCCTGTAGGTATTTGGTTTTAATTCTCTGTCTTTTAGATTGCCAAACGAATTTACTTGTTATTCTTCCTAGGTCTTTGAAGAACTCATAATTTTTAAGATGGGTAAATTTTGTGCTAGAAATAGGATTCTTGGTAATATATTCATTTTTATAGTCGCTATCCTTCCCATTAAGGAGATATGTTTTTGTTCCCAGTTTTTCAGATCTATACTGATTTCTTTTAGTAGTTTTTGATAGTTATTTTCAAACATTTTTGCGGTGTTATCTGATAGCCAAATACCTAAGTATTTAGCTTTATGCACTACTTCCATTTCGGAAATTTCTTTTAACCTTGTTATCAATCTCGGGGAGCAGTTTTTAACTATTATTTTTGTTTTTTGAATATTAATTCTAAACCCAGCTAGTTGTCCAAATTCTTTTATATCCTTTAATAAGATTGGCAAAGACTGCTCTGGATCTTCCAATACAAATATTAGGTCATCGGCAAAGGCTTGTACCTTGAATTCTTCCCCTTTTACTCTCAACCCTCTTATCATTACATTGGATCTGATTTTTTCAAGTAGTGACTCAATATTGCGGGGGGGAGGCGTGGCTGTTTGCCCCGGAGCGAACTACCGTGCAG